CAGCCACAGACAGACTACTCGAAACAATCGCCAACAGCTGGCATTAATGACATCCTGACATCATCAGTGATCATCTCCGCAACAATGCGTGCAAGGGAAGCATCGTCTCTACTCTGCCATTGACGACAGTACATTAAAACAAGAAGCCCATTCACCTCATCAGGCGATGAGGGGCGCAGCATCGCGCAAGCAAAGTATCTCGGTCTTTTACTCAAGCACAGAGACGAACCACAACAAAGCCGAATATGGGGCATTGCACCTGTGGCACAGGCGCGCGGGCGACGATCTTCGCCTTCTCCCTGGGCAGCAGCGCGGACGGCTCCCTCCCGCGGCAGGTGGCCTGCGCCAGCGGCGGCGCCTGGGGGTCCATAGGCGACGGCGACGACCCGCTCACCGCCATGAGCACGTACTACACCTACATCGCCTCGGGCCGCCACGCCTCCGGCGACGTCTCCCGCTCCACGCCCGTGTGGTCCAACCCCTATGAAGACGACGGCGGCCTGGGCACCTTAACCACTGTGGCGCGGCCGATATACAGCCCCCGGGGGGCGGAGGGCGTGCCTGGGGTGCTGGTGGGAGTGGTTGGGCACGACGTGCCCATCGGGGACCTGGAGAGGGAGGGGGACAGCCACGCCGCGGTGCTGGACGGGCTGGTGGCGCGGTCCAGCCGGTGCGCGCCGCTGGTGGCGACGCCGTGCCAGCTGCAGGTGCACAGGAGCCACTCCGCCGACGAGGCGACCTGCTCGGATGCGCCGCCGGCGTCCGGCTGCTACAGGTGCGACGAATGGCGTGCGTGGATGCGCGCTCGCGACGACAGATGCCCTTTGCGTGCAAACCTATGCAGGTGTTCTACCCACGGGCAGAACAAGCCTGTGATGAACCTGTTCGCCGTGCTGATGATGCACGCATTGATAATCTCCACAGAAACTAAATGTCGTTCGGACATATATCCTTAGTTTATCCTTATTGTTTTTGAAATGCTCGCAATATATTTCGCATAAGACATGTACGCGTATGTTTGTACTGTGTCTGTGCGCAGAACTAGAAGTATGGGCTGGAGGGAACCGACGATTTCTTGCATGAGAAAATTGAGCCACGCATTGGCCCACGTAATTCATATCGGCAGCGGCCTGCATTGTAGACAAGGACTGCATCAGGAAGTCCCAGTTGCAGCTCCACCTATTGACTTCAAAGCCAGGGAGAAACCAACAAAGCAATGTAGCCTGAGAAATTTCAGGCTGTTTGGGACCTACATCGGCAACCCGCAAGCATAATATTCTCCACGCAAAACTCGAAGCTGTATTCCCGAATTAGTTTTCAAACGATTTTGCACAAGGATGAAATGCACTGTTAGGTCTGAAAAGCCATAAATTAGGACGCGTTTGTATGGTAAACACATTGAAATTTGCAATTTGAGAAGTGTCAGGCATGAAACCGCTTGCGCGTTCATGCCCTTCCCAGCGATGCAAGTGCCTGGCGAAATTCGGCCAAACAGGCCTGGTTGCGGCGAAATCTCGCCAACGACCCCGAAATCAAACCCAATCTGGGCAGGGCACTGTATGCGGAGCTGCAACAAGCGATCTTACGTTTCTCAAAACAAACAAAAGCCGCGCGCCCGAGGGATTGACTACCCGCTTCCTTTTCCCCGCCAGGTACAGATCCGCGTACTACCGAGTGCCCAGCGACAGACTGAACTGGGACGCCTCCGCGGCGTCCTGCCGCTCGGCGGGCGGCGCCCTGGCCTCCGTCCGCAACGCCGCCGAGCTGCGCTTCGTGTCCGGCATCGCCCCACCGGATGGCGCCTGGCTGGGCGCGCGCCGGCCCTCCCCAAACGCGGACGCATTTTCCTGGCAGGATGAAGGCCTTGAGGCCCTGCGGCCCGATTCCGACTACTGGGGCCTGGGCGAGCCCAACAACTACGGCGGGTCGGAGGCCTGCGCGGACGTCGACCGCCGGGGGGCCTCCCGCAACATGAACGACGAGGACTGCTCGAAGGAGCAGCGTTACGTGTGTGAGTTCGCTGCCCGACCCGCGGGGTGCGCGAACGTGACGCTCGTGGACGACGGCGCCTTTTTCGTCCACCCGCCGGTGAGCCTGTGCGTCGACGAGGAGAACGTGGTGGCGGACACGGCGCCGGTGGCGGGCGCCGCGCGGTTGAGCAGCGCGGACGCGGTGTGTGAGTTTGGGGAGTTCAGGCCCACCGAAGAGGTGGCGTGCTGCGCGGATTGCCTGAAGGGAAGCGCCACACAAGTGGGGGCGATTGTGGGTGGCGTGGTCGGCGGGCTGCTGGGCGCGGCGATCTGCGGCGGCGTCTGTTTCGGGATCTACAAGTGCTGTAAGCCCAGCGCCCACGCGCGGCCCGCAAGGGGGACGCCGACTGGGGCGTCTTCCGCTCCGCTCGTACAGCAGTTGCCAGCAGCGCCGCCGAATCATCAGCCGTTCCCTGCGGCCCCCGTGGGCCCCATCCCGCAGCCCTATCCAGCCGACCAGGGGACTCCCGCCGCTCAGCCGTTCCCCGCGCCAGGGTGGGCGAAGGGTGGGGCCGCTCAGCCATCGGCGCCGCCTCTACAGCCGCCGGCTTACGCCTTTTGAGCGGTATTGGTGTTTGGGAGTGGGGAAGGAGGAGGGAGGGCACCAGGTGATGTTAACGCGTTTCCCTTGTTTTATGGCTCTGAGGACAGTGGGGAGATTATGAGTCACAAGCGATTTTGAAATTTTGGTCACAAGCGGGGAAGTGTGCAGAACGTTTAATTACATAGTGGTGATGGGGAAGCAAGGCTTCTGGTATGAATGCCGTGGGTGGAAAGGTGTTCTGGTGCAAGAGGATGCAATGGCAATGATTCGCCCGGGTATGGCTAATACAATCACATGGAGCGGCACCCTGGACGTCAATGTCACCCATCGCCACCTTCATGTCGGCGAATGGACGCCCTTTCTGTCCCCTCGGCCTATACCCTTCTGCGTGGCGCCTGTTGGGCCATTCGTCGTCCATCACGCCAGCTGCCTGGGCTTGCTGGCAATCATGGGTCATGCTTAAAATTTCCACCGTCTCCTGGAAAATGGGCTATTTCAGACACGCACGCCCTGCAAGAGAGCCAGCTGGCACCAAGAGGACGGATCCTCGCGGTTTAGAATTGGTCCAATTCTAAGCCCCGCACCTACGAGCATCCCTACCGCCCTGGCACCCACTGATTGAAGACATGCATTCTAAATTTTCCATCAGCCAGTTGTCGCCGTACATCAAAGAAAAATGGAGAAAGAGCTTGAAAACATTTATTACTTTAGCCCCATTTGATGGGCCGTACGGTCTCCCATCACACTACTCGCCCTGCCAAACTTCGAGAATTCAGGGATGAGCAAATCAATCCAGTTTCGTGATATGAAGGTTTTTCAATTGTTGAAACCAGATTAAAATCTCCCTTTTCATGATTTCCGCAATCTTATTGAGGAATGCAGAAGCCGCTTTCTTCCACTCTGTCACTTTCTTCTTAAGCCAACAGCCAGCAAACCTTACATTTCCATTTCCCGGTTTCTTTTTTTTTTTGGAAGTTTTGTGTGGAGTTTCAACTTCTTACACTGCTGCGGCACTGCTCCAGTACCATGTTCTCAATGCAATGGCCGTACTTTGCATTCATATTCGTTTCATCTTGTCTCGCAGTCAGCTTCGGTCTACGCATGTGGGGAGGTGGTGTACTCTTGGCGAGCGGCGCAAAGGCGCCGCCCCTGTTGATAGAGGGGGAGGTCGCGTCGAAATACGGGGGCAGGAAGGCGTTGGCGAGGCATGGCGATTGGCGGGCTTGTTTAAAAGTTGGTAGAAAGCGCAGTTATGGTGCTTTCCATGCCAGAGTTTATGTGTGGAGTTTAATCCACAGGAGCACAGCCGCACAGGCCTTTCGGGGGAGGGAATGCAAGGGGTCACCATTTGCCCCCGTCGTTTGTGTCCCCGCCTGTATACTCATTGCCTTTCAGCTAGTCTGATCCAGTGTGGGCACACCGTTGAGCACCATAGCCTAGGTGTGGACCGATATCCATATATGCATATAACCATGTGAATGGACCCACATGGATCCATAAGCATGCATGTGTACATGTGCATTATCGGTGATTAATCACGCACGCATGTGTTGCCAACTGAACTGGGCTCTTCATTCAATCTTTTTGATGATGCACCGCGCGCCTGGCATCTTTTCACAGACCGCCTTCTCCAAGCAGAGCGCGGGGCTGCATTGAACGCAGCAGACGCGGGTGTCAGGCACGCCCTGCGCAATGCTAGGACCACAGGAGCGTACTTAAGGGTCACAGTGTCAGTCGCGCATTTGACCCGGACCGCCACGTGGGCACGATTCGTATAATTGCTCATCAGTTGGGCCGGCGTTTTCGGGTATAAATGTGCCCCCGCTGGATCTCTGGCCGCTTTCCGAGCGTCCTGTTATACTCTCGAACATCGGCTTACGGCCGACGGAAACGACAGAGGATTTGAGACGCTGGCGAGCCTCGGCCTGAGTGCACCGAAGCCCGGGGGAAGCACTGCGGTGAGGCCGGCCCCTGCTCCCCTCTGAGACATCCGTTTGGCCGCTTAAGATCGAATGCTCTTTCCGACGTTGACTTTTGCGTAATTCGCTATGTAGCCGTTGGAGGCCTCGCAACACAAGCCGCACGCCATCCGGATGTCAACATACAGCGTCCCCGCAGGCCATTGCGTCCAGTTGGGCCCGTCCTCGCTGCCCTGCAGTGACGTCGACAGCAGCTGACCCACGCGTTGCCGCAGCCTTGGTGAAAAGGTGGCGCCGTGGGTCACTCTCCTCCATTTTATGCCAGTTGTTTCTGGACAGCTGTATCACTGCGCCACCAAACAGACTGTTTTCGGCCGCTTGCGCGCTGCAGGTTAGATAATCACGGGCCGCTGAAAGGTGCTTTGACCAGCCGCTGAATTGATGTGGTGATTAGTTCACTGAAAAATTTGAGCTTGAACAATTCACCGAAATTTAAATTAAGCAGTTACGCCCAATGTTTCAACTATGTGTTCAGTCGTAATTCATTGAGCCCTTCCATCAGGAAATTGAGTCGTTTGTTGTGTTCACTGTGTTCCTGTGCGCAGTTTAATGGCGTTTTCCGTCGTGGTGGATGCGGCGTCCGTGGCGATTGCGATCATCTTCGGGGGCATGATCTCCACAAGGGCTACCGCTGTGGCCACAGCCGCGATACGTGCAGTGGATACAGCATGCATGGCGGGCACGGCTTGGAGTGTGATGGATGCCGCAATCTCTGGAGGGATGTGGGGCCCAAAGTTGAAAAGTAGCCCACAGATGGACAGGTAAGTATGGTGGACGGAGGGTGAGGAGGAGGTGGCGCCTACGAGCAGCCGTTGTGGGCAATACGAGGGGGTAGGCGCGAAAACTAGCGACGATGCGGACCCTGGAAGATGCCCACCTACAGAACGGGCCACCAGAAACGGGCCAGAACAATAAAGGAAAAAGAGCACACCACAAGCTTCAGAAGACACGAGTGTGGAACCAAAGGCAGGCCGATCCATCACTGCAGGATACGCACAGCTCTGTCAACACAGGGAGCGGCTCATCACCACGGACAATGGCGCCGACGGCGATGACTGCAGCGGTGCATGCTGGTTGGTACATTGGGGTTGACAGAGAAGGTTTCACAATGTGTGCAACTCAGGTAAGCACGTGACTTCTTTGGACCGTAATTTTACAACTTCCACTTGCTTAACATCAGCGAGTCCCCCGTTTCCATTGGTGTTCGCATCGATGCTGCGCATTGTCAGTGAGTGCAACGTTCCTCATCATTTCTTGATCGGCAGACTCAGTGCGCGTAGAGCTCACCAACACAGCATCCAAACTTGCGGCAAAAGGAGATTGTGGCGAATTAAATCATGGAAAGTTTTGTAATCCTCCATGTAGACTGGCCATGGTGAAATCGAGTACTTGCATTCCATTTCCATAGGATGAGTCTGCATTTCCACAACCCGGCGTTCGCCGAACAATGCTATTCACTGTCTGCAGGTCGCTCTCCACGGAGAACGATGTTTGCGGGGAGACCAGGATGGGAAGAACGCACTTCTCATCGGCATCAGCATTGGTCCTGAGATAGACGCCATGCTACCTGGGCCTGCGATGGGAATAGCAGAATCACGATAACGAGGCCCATATTGTTGAAGTACAAGCTTTCACCGGCCTTCTGCCTTTTGGGGGTGGTTACAACGTGTGTGGGATATATGTGCCTAACAATCAGGCACAAAAGCAGACTATTGGGAGTCAGGGATGTCCCCCGCCTTCAGTAAGGGGCGCATGGGGAGAGCTTGAGAGGCGCTTGACGCGCTTAATTCAAGTAAATTTCAAGCTATGCTACAAATTATCTCGGCTCCTGCACGTGTGCGGTTTCAGCTAGCTCAACATTGCGGTGTTGTCGTCAGTGGCAGCGTAGCCGCGGTGTGCGATGGGACACGCAGCGCAGATTCCACATAGCACATAACGAACGCCTGGCAGAGCAACCCAAATGTCCATGCAACATCGTGTAGGAAACCCGCCATGCCCCATTTGTCAAGCGCCGTCGGGAGCCACAATTGGGTCAGCCTGCGACACCACCCCGGTCGCCTGGCCAGCAAGCACGAATTCCGTGTGTTAAAAAATTCCCGTATTTACCTGCGAAAAGTTGCATTGCAAGCCTGCATTGTATCCAGCATGGCACACGGTCGTTAGCCATGACAGTTGTGGCGCAAACTCCTATCCAGCTGCAGTAAACAGGTTTTGCAAGTGTGCTTCAACAAATGCTATCTACGAAGCGCTATGCTGTCATAGACGGCCTACTATGCGTGTCCACGCATTTCGAGCCATTCAGGTGTTAAGCTGAATTTGGCCAAATAAAGCCCAATTCGGACAAATTGTCCAGCACAAAGGTTGGAAAACAGGCTTCACTTCACATGACCCCCGGCAAGGTCCGACTAAAATCTAGGACTGCGTCTGCACCGTCTTCAGAAGCTGTGCAAGCGCTAGTGCACAATGCCACTTAAGTAAACCGCAGGCTCGATGGCGCAAAAATGCGCATATGGCCAGTCTGGCCATACGCTATAAACGAAACGTATGTATCTGAGCTACACTATTGTAAACTCAAGCGATTGATCTGTCAGGCCTTTTTTTGGCTGGAGCCTGACACCATCGACCCGCCACAAAGTCATTTCGTTCGTGAACGAATCACGGAAACCGCCTGCCTGTCCGGCCACACGCCATTGTCCATGTCACACTAGTGTGCGCCGCCGCCCTTCTGCGCTGCCACGTCGGCAGACGGAACAGAACCTTCGCTGCAGTCCACCCCGAGGCCTGCGATGGGCCGCGGCCCAGACGGCGGAATTGCTCGGCTTTGCGCGGTGGCATGCCACGCAGAACGAAGCTTCCTGCTGACTGGGCCCACCGCTGCCAGAAAAAGCTTGCACTCCACAGGCGGCTTGCTACACTCGAGCATCCGCTCCGGCCCGAAATAAGGTCTTCTGTCAGCTCCGACACCTCCCCTGAACTGCGCTGTCCTGGACACTTCCCAACCCAGTAAGATCAGCCACACTAGGCCAATTTCTGATGGCC